TTATCAAAGGTGTAATTGATATTTTAACTCTCAAACCATAAAATTCTGTTTTGAGGTAAGAAAATGTTTTTGTAAGGAAGACTCCACTTTATATGGTACAAATGTCATTGCCTGTTCCTCACCTCTGATACCTTGGATGTGTGATGCTTAATTACATCTTAGTTTGTCACTGCTCAAACAGTAATAAGTTACTGTGGTCTGCACAAGTATTATTAGAGTTACTTAATTATCATAATCATAACCATAATTTTTAAAGGGGTGGACCGGTAAGCCAGTGGAAGGCCTTAGTCAGATGGCCAAAATCGTCCAGCTGTAAGTCAGCATATGACTAATATCTGCTTCAGGAGACACTTACCCTGTTTCCCGACAAGCTTTACCTAACCTAACCTCTGCACAAGTGTCAGCTGGCACTGTACCACTCACATATAACCAGTTTGAATCTGGAAACAAAACAACTGGAGGAAGAGGAGGCAGAAACCTGATCCCCAAGCCAATGTAAGTCACCCATCACTGACAGTCTAGAGATCAATCTGGCTTTAAAAATATCTTCCCCAATCATCCAACAGATCCTGGTGCCAGAAATTTTTATCCCAGGAGAGGCACTGAGTGTAATGTACAGTTGAACCCCGTTTTTAACTTAATCCATTCCAGAAGGTCGTTCTAAAACCGAAACGTGCGAAAAGTGAATCAATATTTCCCATAAGAAATAATGTAAATACAATTAATCCATTCCAGACGCCCAAAAATATTAACAAAAAATAAATTTTTTGAAGATTAACTATAGTGGTTAGCTCTTCCCTGTGGTCATCCACGAACTCTTCCACATTCATTACTTACCTTAAAATATTTGTAGTCTTAATGTAGGGGCGAGAGGTGAGTAGTACCTTCTTGTAGGAACTCACTCTATCTGACTTTTTTGGGTTATCCTAGGTTCTCTACACATGCTGCTATGTATGATAATCTATGTAACTGTATTTGTGTATACCTGGATAAACTTACAGTGGACCCTCAGATAATGATGCCATCGGAAAACGATAAAATCGGATACTGATGCATTTTTGCGTAAAAATATTGGCTTGGTTAACGATGAAAAACTCGTCCGGAACATGTCTGCGTGGCCTTGGCTGCCTGCGGCCACCTGGCCACTATGTACAGCCAGTGTGCCATTGTTTACAAGCCAGGGCGGACGATTCCAAGCATACATGCAATACATTTTGTATTATTCCATTGTTTTTAGCGCTTGTAACTGCTAAATAAGCCACCATGGGCCCAAAGAAAGCTTCTAGTGCCAACCCTGTGGTAAAAAAGGTGAGAAATACTATCGAATTAAAGAAATAAATAATCGCAAAGTACAAAAGTGGAGTGCGTGCCTCCGAGCTCGCCAGGGTGTATAACAAACCCCAATCAACCATCGCTACCATCTTGGCCAACAGAAAGGCAATCAAGGAAGCTGTTGTTGTGAAAGGTGCAAATGTGCTTACAAAACAGAGATCGCAAATACTCGAAGATGTGGAGAGACTGTTACTGGTGTGGATCAACAACAAACAATTATCAGGAGATAGTGCTTCACAGTTAATCATATGTGAAAAGGCAAGGCAGTTGCATGATGATCTCATTAAGAAAATACCTGGAACTAGTGCTGATGTTAGTGAATTTAAGGCCAGCAAAGGTTGATTTGAGAGATTTAAGAATCATAGTGGCATACACAGTGTGATAAGGCATGGTGAGGTTGCCAGTTGTGACCAAAAAATGGCTGAAAAATATGTACAGGACTTTAAAGGGTACATAGAGGCTGAAAAATTAAAACCCTAACAAGTGTTCAACTGTGAAGAAACAGGCCTGTTTTCGAAGAAAATGCCAAACAGGACCTACGTTACTCAAGAGGAAAAGGCACTATAGGTAAGGCTTGGAAGGGAGTAACTTGCAGGACTTTGAACTCTGCCTGGAGAAAACTGTGGCCAGAATGCGTATAAGAGAGGGATTTTGAAGGGTTTGGGACTAAACCTGAGGAGCCTATACCAGTTGTGGAATCTATTGTGTCACTGGGGAAGTCCATGGGGTTGGAGGTTAGTGGCGAGGACATGGAAGAATTGGTGGACAACGACGATGAAGAGCTAACCACTGACGAGCTGCAAGAGCATCTGCAACAGCAACAGACCACAGCTGAGGATATTGCTTCAGAGGAGAGGAGAGAGAGATGGAGGAAGTTGCCTTCTTCAACGATTAAGGTCATTTGTACAATGTGGACAGCTGTTGCAAGCTGTGCTGGTGACTTTTACAATGACAATGTTGTGTCCCAGAAACAGAGCTTTATGGGCAGATTTTTGGTGCAACAGAGGTCCAGTGACTGTCAAGTTGTTTCCAGTGGCATTAAAAAACAAAGAAGGGAAGTAACCCCTGAAAAGGACTTGCTACCTAAAGTCCTAATGGAAGGGGATTCCATCATCTCCCCTCCTCCCATCTCATCACTCATCAATAAATCTTTAATAAAGGAAAGTGTCAATTATTCTTCATGTATTTATTCATGTCTGATTGTTTTCTGTGTAGGAAAATGTATATTTCATGTGAAAAAAAATAAATTTTTTAATACTTTTTGGGTGTCTGGAACGAATTGGATTTCCATTATTTCTTATCGGGAAAATTAAATCAAATAACAATAAAATCGGTTAAGGAATGGAATGGAATGGATTAAAATTGTTAACTGAGGGTCCATTGTACTTACTTACTAAGTAGCTGGTAGATGTACGTAGCCAGTAGAGGCAGGTAGCCGGTAGGTAGCCTGGGCTAAAGGGTACATAGAGGCTGAAAAATTAAAACCCTAACAAGTGTTCAACTGTGATGAAACAGGCCTGTTTTCGAAGAAAATGCCAAACAGGACCTACGTTACTCAAGAGGAAAAGGCACTCCCAGGACACAAGCCTATGAAAGACAGGCTAACTCTCATGTTTTGTAGTAATGCTAGTGGGGATTGTAAAGCGAAGCCTTTACTCGTGTATCACTCTGACACTCCCAGAGCATTCAAGAAAAACAGTAACATCAAGGCTAATTTGTGCATGATGTGGAGGGCAAACAGTAAGGCATGGGTCACTAGGGACATTTTCCTCGATTGGTTTTATCACATATTTGGCCCCAGTGTGAAAAAATACCTCCTGGAAAATAAATTGGAACCCAAGTGCCTCCTGGTATTAGACAATGCTCCTGCTCATCCTCCAGACTTGCAAGAGTGAATTGTGGGGGAGTTGAGTTCCATAAAACTGAGGCTTTTGCCACCTAACACCACTCCTCTCCTCCAGCCCATAAACCAGCAGGTCATTTCAAATTTCAAAAAACTGTATGCCAAAGCAGTGTTTCAAAAGTGCTTTGAAGTGACCTCAGACACTGAACTGACCCTAAGAGAGTTCTGGAAAGATCACTTCAATATCCTCAGTTGCATAAACCTTATAGGTAAGGCTTGGAAGGGAGTAACTTGCAGGACTTTGAACTCTGCCTGGAGAAAACTGTGGCCAGAATGCGTATAAGAGAGGGATTTTGAAGGGTTTGGGACTAACCCTGAGGAGCCTATACCAGTTGTGGAATCTATTGTGTCACTGGGGAAGTCCATGGGGTTGGAGGTTAATGGCGAGGATGTGGAAGAGTTGGTGGACGACGACGATGAAGAGCTAACCATTGACGAGCTGCAAGAGGATCTGCAACAGCAACAGACCACAGCTGAGGATATTGCTTCAGAGGAGAGGAGAGAGAGACAGAGGAAGTTGCCTTCTTCAACGATTAAGGTCATTTGTACAATGTGGACAGCTGTTGCAAGCCGTGCTGGTGACTTTTACAATGACAATGTTGTGTCCCATTTTAGGGAAATCTTAAATACTGTAGTAGATTAAAATAAGCAATTATCTATTCTATAATAATAGTTCATAATGGTAAGCAAGTAATGGTAAATTAACAGAAAATAAATAAAAAATAAAAAAAGGGTTATTTAAAAATTATTGTAGTACAATTATGATGATGCAATATTGCATTGGGTGTATTATAATGTGTCCAAGAGTGATTATTATTAAATATACATAGCATATAAACATTGCATGCTTATACTGTGCTATGTAATGTGTTTCTTACATAATTTTGAAGAAAATATCATACATGGATTAATGAAAATGTCTATGTTAACCTAACATAAGACATTTAATGTGTCCAAGAGTGATTATTATTAAATATACATAGCATAAAAAACATTGCATGCTTATACTATGCTATGTAATGTGTTTCGCATATAATTTTGAAGAAAATATCATAGATGCATTAATGAAAATGTCTATATTATTGTAAAACAAGACATTTAATGTGCCCAAGAGTGAGTCATGAACGTATGAGCAGCCCAGGTGGACGCGTCAGATACGCATGATTTCTGGATCAAGGTTCAATATCTGGAGCACAATTTTGCACAAAAAACGGTTCTAAAACTGAATTGTCCGATAATTGGGGCATGCAAAAACCGGGGTTCCACTGTACTCAGATTTGTCAGAAACTGATACTGAAGGTAGTTTGTTGTGTGTGTTTGCTATGAACTGCTACAGCAGGCTCAGATACACCAGGAAGAACAGCAACCTTCATCAAGAAGCACAATGAGTGGTGTCCCAGAAATTGTTAGTGAAACCTAAATAACCCTCAATTTACAAATGATCTTAACTTATCAATATTAATTACTCAGACATTTTGATTATGATGGGACAGTCCCACTTTTGGCATACCCTGCTGTCCCCTCAAACCTCTAAGGAACAAAAAAATTTTGTGATTTTTTATAGACTACAGTATAGTAATGATACATGTCCTAATTCAACAAACTCACCACAAGTAAAATATACTGTTATGGAAAAATTGCTCTGTGTAATGATAGTATTTAACTAACAGAGCAAGTACAGGTGTCCTTGCCTTGTGTAGCAGATGCATTCCAAGCCCATGGCACATGTTAGGCCATAAACGCGTAATTTCACATGCTGGTATCTTCAATACATTTTGCAAATCACACTGGTGACATAGAGAATATGTACAGTGGACCCTCCATTTTTTCGATCTCCATTATCGCCAATTTTGGTTTTGGCCGACTTTTCTCGTTTATTTTTTACTCCGTTTTCGTCGATTGTACGGATCCTGTCCAGTGCCGAGCGTGCAGACAAAGCCGCCTCCCACACCATTCTCAGCCAGTGTAGCATTGTTTCTCGGTCGGTGAATATATCCTGCCAGGTCATATGAAACATTTCGTAATAATCCACTGTTTTTGCCACTTGTTTATTGTGTGTGACTGCTAAATAAGCGACCATGGCCCCAAAGAAAGCTCCTAGTGCCAGTGCTTTGATAAAGAAAGTGAGGAACACTGTAGAACTGACAAAAGAAATCCTAAGAAAATATGATAATAGCATACGCATTGCTGAACTTGGCAGGATGTACGGGAAGTCACCATCAACAATCAGCTCCTTTGTGGAAAAGAGAAAAGAAATCATGGAAGCTGATGTTGCAAAAGGGGTGAATGGGATAACCAAACAGAGATCCCAAACAATTGAAGAAGTGGAGAAATTGTGGATCAGAGAGAAAGAGTTAGCAGGAGATAGTGTTGTGCAGTCAGTTATTTGTGAAAAGGAAAGACAGTTACATGACAACCTCTTAAAGAAACTGCCTGAAACAAGTGCTGATGTAGGTGAATTTAAGGCCAGCAAAGGCTGGTTTGAAAAATTCAAGAAGCAAAGTGGCATACACAGTGTTATCAGGCATGGCAAGGGTGCCAGTTCAGACAAACAAGCGGCTGAAAAATTTGTGCGAGAATTTAAATGCTATGTAGAGGTTGAAAAATTCCAACCCCAGCAAGTGTTCATTTGTGATGAAACAGGCCTGTTTTGGAAGAAAATGCCAAAGAGGACCTACATTATGCAGGAGGAAAAGGCACTCCCAGGACACAAGCCTATGAAAGACAGGCTAACTCTTTTGTTGTGTGGTAATGCTAGTGGAGATTTCAATGTGAAGCCTTTACTGGTGTATCACTCTGAAAATCCCAGTGTTCAAGAAAAACAGTATTGTCAAGAGTAAATTGTGTGTGAATTGGAAGGCTAACAGTAGAGCATGGGTCACAAGGGAAATTTTCCTGGAATGGTTCAATCAAGTGTTTGACCCAAGTGTGAAGAAATACCTCCTGGATCATAAATTGCCACTCTAGTGCCTCTTGTTAATGGACAATGCTCCTGCTCATCCTCCAGACTTGGAAGACCAATTGTCTAAGGAATTCAGTTTTGTATCAGTGAAGTTCTTGCCTCCTTCAGCCCATGGACCAGCAAATCATTGCAAACTTCAAAAGAACTGTACACCAAAGCAATATTTCAAAGGTGCTTTGACATAACCTCGAACTCTGAATTGACCCTAAGGGAGTTCTGGAAGAATCACTTCAGTATCTTCCACTGCATAGGCCTTATAGATAAGGCAGGGAGTGACTTCCAAGATGATGAACTCTGCTTGGAGAAAATTGTGGCCAGATTGTGTCCAAAAGAAAGATTTTGAAGGGTTTGAGGCTGACCCTGTTGACCCTACACCTGTTGTGCAATCAGTTGTGACACTGGGTAATTCCATGGGGTTGGATGTGAGTGGCCAGGATGTGGAAGAGTTGGTGGAAGACCACAATGAAGAGCTAACCACTGATGAGCTGCAAGAGCTTCATCTGCAACAGCAACAGACCACAGCTGAGGAAATTGCTTCAGAGTAGGAGGAAGAGAGATGGAAGAAGGTGCCTTCTTCAAAGATTAAGGAGATTTGTGCAATGTGGACTAAAGTGCATTCAAATGCGGAGGAACATCACCCTGAGAAAGCTGTTGCAATCAATGCTGGTGACTTTTACAATGGCAATGCCATGTCCCATTTTAGGCAAATCTTAAAGAGATGCCAGAAACAGACCTATCTGGACAGATATTTTGTGTGACAGGGGTCCAGTGACTCTCAAGCTGGTCCTAGTGGCAGTAAAAAACAAAGGAGAGAAGTGACCCCAGATAAGGACTTGGTACCTAGAGTCCTCATGGAGGGGGATTCCCCTTCCAAACAATAACCTATCATCCCTCTCCCCTCCTCCCTGTCTTCCTTCCAGCAACAACAGCTTTCAATAAAGTTAGTGTCATGTGTAATGTTCATTATTTTGTGCATGTAACTATCTTTAAGGTAAAAATTTTTTTTTTGTTGATACTTCTGGGTGTCTGGAATGGATTAATTCCATTTACATTATTTCTTATGGGGAAAATGGTTTTGGTCTTGGCTAATTTCAGTTTTGATCAATGGCTCTGGAACGGATTAAACACGAAAACCGAGGGTCCACTGTATATCAAACACATGGAATTACGTAGTGATAGAAATTAGAACTTGCATAATAGTAATATTCATAAAAGAAAAGACCTGCTTTTCAGTTTTTGAAAATTAAAGCTGATGATACTGTACATTGTTTGGCAACTTCTGCCAATATATAAGTACAGCCTCTCCTCACTTAGTGATGGATTTGTTTACTGACGACTTGGATTTACGACGAGCTCTCTGACCAGTATGTATACCTAAATAATGTATATTAGAGCTGATTTCCTCTATTCTATTAATTACAATATACAGTATACTACTGTATAAACATTTAAAAATATACCAGAAATGTCATAAATGGTGCAAAGGTGACATTAAAATGATATCAAAGATAGCTGACACAAACCCCCTACCATTATATATAGTATGCTCGTCACTCAGCGATGAATTCGTTTACCGATGTGGTCTTAGAAATGGAACTCCATTGTTAAGTGAGGAGAGGCTGTATATAATGTTCGTAGCAAAGATGGCAATCTTGCAAGTGTTTTTTTTTTTATCAGAGAAAATAAAGTGGACCTTGTTGCAAGGCAGTTTCTTATTACATGACAAATTACACTATCTGCTACTGACATAAGTGACATTATATTTTAACTTATAAATCACATCTTTACTGATTAACCCTTAAAGTGTCCAAACATAGATCTATGTTTGTACTGCTAGCTCTCCAAATGTAGATCTGTGTTTTATTTTTCCTGCCTCCAAATTTGGCATGATTGGCCTGAGATGCCTGGTCAGTACAGAATGGGTCTTAACACTCTGTGTGTGCAGTATTAAAAAATCTGGGACCACTTAGTACCTTGTGGGAGCACCAGTTCAACTGAGCACTAGCTAGAACAAATAGCGTGGTAAACACCAGGAATTCACTGATGTCATGTCGTATTAACACTCCCCTTTTAAGAGGAAAGTGATGGATGTGGCCACAAGTGGTCGAGGAAATATCAAAAACCTCGATAATAACCCATGTGTAACATTTGTGCAATGTCCTTTCATTTTTGATACCACTGGTAATGTCATCCTGCCAGAATGTTCTAAAACCTATGCCCTAAAGCAGTGGTTCCCAAACATTTTCAGCTTGTTACCCAATTTAACATGCCACATAAAGCATGTTACCCCTTTCACAAAATGTTGTTATTATTGATCTATATGGCTAAATTAAAACACTTGAGATATTTTCTTTTATTTATTGTATTTGAACATTGTGCATCTCTAATGACTATTACCAAAGATGTCAAGAACATCAGTGGGATGGATGGAGTTGCATACTTGAAGCTAATTTAGGAATTCTTGGCTTCGTGGTTGAAAGTGCCAGCCTGGCATCGTTTGCAACATTCAAGCGAGTCCTCTTTTTTGTTTTCATACCCAGCACAGTTGAGAAGCCCTTCTCGCACAGATACGTTGTTGAGAATGATACCAACAACTTCAAGGCTCTCTTGGACAGAGTTGGCGAGTCAGGTAGTCGTGAAATCCAAAAGGAATCTGCATTTTGGTTTTGGAATTCGATTTTCAAGGCTTCATTGGCTCGCATTGTGATCCACTCCTCCTTTGCAGGGAAATCATCATCATGAATGGCATCATCAGGTACAGAGAAGGGATGAATGATCCACTGAAGAGTGTCTGTTTCTTGGTCACTCTCTGGAAAGTAGTGATGCATGCTTGTTTCAAGCCCCTTCAAATGGTCGCTCATTTCTTTGTTGATGGTCTGTAGAAGTGATCCAGTATCATGACTATTCTCCTCAACAAACTGGTCTAGGGTGGGAAACTGGGCGATCACTCCTTTCTCCAAGCGCCGAATCCAGAGTCTCAGTTTCCCCAGAAATGCAGTCACAGTGTGATGGGCATCAATGACAGTCGTGTTTCGGCCCTGGAGTTGCAGATTACCACTGTTCAGCTCCGCAAATATGTCAGCCAAGTAATTCATTGTATTTATACTAATTTAGACTTTATATAAACATCGTTTCCTACCTGTTGAACGCTGTTCCAATCCAATCCATTCTTGGTAAAGAAACTGTTGATGATATTGAAGACATCTTCTCCCTTTGTGGTTGTCAGCAGATCCTCGCATAATAGGAACTCTTCTTTGATCTTGTCCTGGTGGACGTAACGGACGAACCCAAGGAGAACAGCACAACTGGCTATGTCACACGATTCATCAAATTGCAAGGAGAATTTGCCATATGAGCTTTCCTTGATCTCTGTTGTAACTTGGGACAGGATATCTGATGCCATGTCATCGACTCGTCGGCGGATGGTGTTGTTTGATAGAGATATGACACTCAGTTTCTTCGCTTGATCCTCCCCACATACCTTGCTTACCATCTCGTATGCACAAGGCATAATCAGATTCTCTGCAATGGTGTGGCATTTCTGTTGTTCGGCAATTTTATATGCAACACAGTAGGATGCTTCGACCGCAGCTTGAAGCTTTTGGGCTTGAATTCCAGATGAGCCGAACTGGTTATTCTTCAGTGCTACAGCCTGGCGCTGAAAATAAGCCTGATCCTTATTTTGAAGATTTGGATGGCACTTCTGGAGGTGAGCTGAGAGTTTTGATGGCTTGAGGCTTTCATTTGTCAACACTTTGTGACATGCCACACATTGTGGCCGATCCTCTCCACCAGAAGTTAAATTCACAAAGCCATGGCGAAGAAAGACGTCAGTGTAGGTGCGCTTTTTGGACATTTTCTTGTTCAATCTGCAGAAAAAGAAGAATATCCATGCATACACTGCAAAACGCAAGGTACATAATTTCTCGCATGGCAGCTAACACAAGTTCACTGATGCAAGCACACACGCATACATTCAAAATTGTCAGGCTGCAAGTATCATGCTTGTCAGCACAAGAGCACCGTGTAGCGCGAGACTACAGTGAACGTATACAGCCTCGCATACTCTGCTAATCCTAGCAAAACCATTGAAAACGTAAGAACCACACATACATTATATATAAAATTAATAATAGCTACAAATTCACAGTAACAGTGGGTAAATACTAACTATATACTGCACAGGGCAGTACACATACATACCAGCTTATGTCTACCTCGGCTGATGCTCACAGATAAACTGACAGTGTGAAATAGAGGCAGCCTCAGGAAGTGAGTGACGCGTACTGGACAGGTCGATCTGGGCTACTGAGTGACTTTTGTCCTGAAGCATACTTGTCAAAATACTTTTGGGTTTCCACACACTTAGCTATATATTTCTTCTTTTCTAATACTGTATATTAGTTTTTGATGTTTATTGTTATTTGGTTTAACTTTATTACTTACTTATAATAGGTTTACTTTACAACTTTATATACTAAGACAAAGTTAACAATAATCCTCATACCGGGTACCGCATTGTTTTCTTGATTTTCAGAATTCATAACTTTTTTTCTGTCACCCCTCCATTACCCCCCAAAAATGGTTAAATTACCCCCAGGGGGTAAATTTACCCCCAGTTTGGGAACCACTGCCCTAAAGAGAAACGATTCTGGAACATGTGTAATACGTATTCAGCAGGCTGGCCAGATGGGTGGCCAGCTGGCTGGTTGGGTGGGTGGGTGGGTGGGTGGGTGGGTGGCCGGGTGGCTGGGTGGCCGGCTGGCTGGCTGGCTGGGTGACTGATTGACTTTGTCAGTCTGTATCTGTCTCTGTCTATATCTCTGTCTATCTCCATCTGTCTCTATCTTTCTCTATCTCTGTCTCTCTCCCACATGTACACATAAGTACAGTTATTATACATGGTGTAAATTACCTAGGATAACCCAAAAATTCCAGGCTAAGTGCTATACAGTGCTTGTAGACATAAGGCATAATAAGCATGGCTGGCAAGTTATACACATTTTCACGAATCAGACTTGATGACTGCATCGTGTGTAATATCTGTTGGTTTACAATCTGCTCCCTGAGATTGAGAGACAAGAAGATGGAAAGACACACACACACAGGCAGACAGAAAGACACACACACTCACAGGCAGGCAGAAAGACCGAGACACAGGCAGACAGAAAGACTGAGACACAGGCAGACAGAAAGACAGGCAGACATAAAGACAGACACACACAGGCAGACAGAAAGACAGAGACACACAGGCAGACAGAAAGACTGAGACATACGTTCAGACAGAAAGACAAGAGACACACAGGCAGACAGAAAAACAAATAAGCAGAGCTAGACAGACAAAGACAGACAAACAGACAGATAGATAAGTAGACAGACAGACATACATGTTTGTGTGCAACAGTGAGCACAATCATCAAATAATCACTCACTCCATTCGTGCACTGTCAGCAGTTTAGTGACACTCGTCATAATACCATGCTTCAAGGAGTTTCATATTCATTCATATAGTTTATTTGGACATGATACATAGTTGTACAAGGAATTATAGTAGTTGGGTGTACATGTACATGCCAAAAGCCGCTTGTATGCAGGGCATTATGGGCAGGCTCAAAATTAACTTAAAATTAACAAGCAATGAAAGGTTCATGGTAAAAATTACCGTAAACAATTTACAATATGAAGTACAATTGAGTATATTTGAAACAATGAAACTTGAACATTTCGGTATTGAAGCATTATAGTTGTACAGATTTGTCGCATTACAATGTATATAACAAACAAGATGATCAATTTACTGTATATTGTCTTGAAGTTTAAAGATTTAAGTAAGTGGGAGATTTATTGGTAATGTTAAATATTGAGTGTTGATTATTTAGTCCTGGACGAGTACGTGGTTTTTTAGAAGAGTCTTAAATTGATTTTCAGGCCTGGTTACTTTAGTATGTTCTGGTAATGAATTCCAGATTTTGGGGCCCTTTATGTGCATAGAGTTTTTACACAATGTGATATGGACACAGCGTACATCAAAAAGAGATGTGTCTTGTGTTATGGTTGTGTGTCCTGTTAAGGTTGGTGAGGAGAAGCTTGAGTGGAGGGTTTACATTTGTGTGTATTGTTCTATGTATGTAGTTGGCACATGAATAAGTGTGGATGTTCTTTATGGTGAGCAAATTTAGACTTTTTGAACAGAGGTGGAGTATGCTGTCAAGAGTGGGAATTTGTTATTCTGATTGCAGCCTTTTGCTGGGTTATTAGAGGCCTTAGGTGATTTGATGTTGTTGATCCCCATGCACAAATTCCATATGTGAGATAAGGGTAGATGAGTGAATGATACAGTGTAAGGAGAGTTGACTGTAGAACATAGTACCATATCTTTGATAGTATGCCTACTGTCTTAACAGATTTTCTTGGAAATTTGTCATATATGTGTCTGGAATGTGAGGCTACTGTCTAGGTGGATTTCTAGGAATTTTCCCTCTGTGAGTCTTGTGATGGGTGATCCATTTAGTGTTATATTAAGTGGAACACTTGCAGCTCTGTTTCCAAACTGAATGAAATAAGTTTTGTCAGTATTTAGGGTAAGTTTATTCGTCATCATCCAGGTAGATATTTTCTGTAATTCAGCACTGACAGTGTTGGCGAGTATGACTGGGTTTGGGTGTGAGAAGACATATGTTGTGTCATCTACAAATTATATGGGTTTGAGTAGCCATGATGCATTCGGTAAGTCATTGATGTAGATGAGAAAGAGGAGTGATCCAAGGACACTTCCCCGTAGGACTCCTACTGTGATTGGTTGTGTGGAAGAGTTTGCGCTATTTGCATACACGTATTGGCTTCTGTTACTAAGGTATGACATTAGGTAGTTGAGGGAGTGGCCTCTTATACCATAGTGTGTTAATTTAGTGTGCAGCACATCACGGTCGACTGTATCAAAAGCTTTACGTAAGTCAATGAAAATTCCCAGTGGGACTTCTTTCTTCTCGAGGGCGGTATAAGTTAGTTCTAGTATGTGTATAATAGCATCATTTGTGCTTTTATTATTCCTGAATCCAAACTGACAGGGGTTTAGTATGCTGTTTGAGATGAGGTAGGAATAGATCCATTTATGAATTAATTTTTCAAAGATTTCAGAGAGTAGTGGTAAGTTAGAAATTATTCTATAATAATTCAAGTCGGCTTGATCACCTCCATTGTGGATCGGGGTAACCCTCGCTATTTTGAAAACTGCTGGGAAGGTGGAGGATTCAATGGATTTGTTAAAGAGTGTTGCAATAATTGGTGACAGTACTTGTGAAGCTTTTTTGTACATAAAAGTAGGCAAGTTGTTTATGTCTCCTGCCTTGTTTTTAAGGGTGTTGATGAGCGAGACCTCTGTTGGGTTGGTTGGAGCTAGGAATAATGTATGCGGGTAGGTACCTGTGGGGTAGTCTGATGGACAGGTGTTTGAGCTTGGGATTTTGCTTGCTAGATTCTTTCCTATGGTGGAGAAGAAAACATTGAGTCTGTCGGTGACACAAAGATAGGTAGGATAATTTATTCAAACGTAGATGTTAGGGAACTTCAGGAGGATTTAGACAATCTCTATTCTTGGTCAGAAAAGTGGCAGATGCAGTTCAATGTATATAAATGCAAGGTTCTGAAGCTCGGGAGTGTCCATAATCCTAGCACTTATAAGTTAAATAATGTAGAACTTAGTCATACAGATTGCAAAAAGGACTTGGGGGTTATGGTGAGCAGCAACCTTAAACCAAGACAGCAGTGCCTAAGCATACGTAATAAGGCAAATAGATTATTGGGATTCATATCAAGAAGTGTAAGCAACAGAGGTTAAACTGCAGCTTTATACATCATTAGTAAGGCCTCACCTAGATTATGCAGCTCAGTTCTGGTCTCCATATTACAGAATGGACATAAATTCATTAGAAAATATTCAGCATAGAATGACTAAATTAATACATAGCATTAGAAATCTTCCTTATGAAGAAAGATTGAAGACTCTTAAATTACATTCGCTTGTTAGACGAAGAATGAGGGGAGACATGATCGAAGTGTATAAGTGGAAGATGGGTATTAATAAAGAGGATATTAATAAGGTCTTGAGGATATCTCTCCAAGAGAGAACCTGCAGTAATGGATTTAAATTAGACAAGTTTAGATTTAGAAAGGACATAGGAAAGTATTGGTTTGGAAATAGGGTAGTTGATGAGTGGAACAGTCCACCTAGTTGGGTTTTTGAGGCTAGGACTTTGGGTAGTTTCAAATTTAGGTTGGATAAATATATGAGTGAGAGGGGTTGGATTTGAATGGGACTTGCAAATGAGTCGATAGAGCTATCAGAGCTTATTTCTTGGGTAGCATTGAAAATTAGGTTGGGCAAATGTTTTGTTAGTGGGATGGATTGTAAAGGACCTGCCTAGTATGGGCCAACAGGCCTGCTGCAGTGATCCTCCTTTCTCATGTTCTTATGTTTGCTGTTTCAGTTGGTGGGAGTAGGGGTTCGTCTGATTTTGTTAATTTGATTGTTTTGTTTGTGGATATCCTTTTAGTTCCTTGAATTTCAGATAGGATTTTCCAGGTCTTTTTTATATCACTTTGATGTTTTGTAATCTGTTTTCATAATACAATTTTTTAGACCTTCTTATCAGGCTGGTAAGGGCTGACAAGTAATGCTTAGACTGGTCTCTAGTTATTTCACCCATTCTGTACAGTTTTTCATATTAGTGCTTTGTGTTAATGGATTTGAGGATGGTGGGTGTTAGCCAGGGACTATTTAGTCTCTTTGCTGTGAGCTGTTTAGTTTTCTAGGGCAATGCTTGTTATAGAGGTAGTGGGTTCTTTTTATAAAATTATTAATACATTCATT